GCCTGTAGTCCCAGCTACTCGGGAGGGAGGCCGAGGCAGGAGGATCTCTCGAGGCCAGGAGCTGGAGGCTGCTGTGAGCGACGCTGATGCCACGGCACTCTAGCCCGGGTGACAGAGTAAGACCCTGTCTCAAAAATAAAACGAAGAAAAACACCGGGCGGGCCAGATAAATGTCCTCCGCGGGCCATAGTTTGAGGGCTGAGTCTGCAGTGCGTAACCAGGCCCGTCGCTAGGGGCCGGTTGTCGGGTCGGGCTTTGACAGCCCAAATGCTCAGACGTCCCACCGGGGCTGGTTTTCGGGGAAACACGGTATTTCCCCCAGGGACGACCGTGCTTGGACATCGGGGGCCCGGCAGGGGAGGGGACACCCCCCTCGCACGGGACGACCGCCGTGTTGGCGCTTGGGGCCGGCCGGCCGGCTTGCTCACCTGGGCGGGCTTGATCACCACGGTGTTGCCCGCGGCCAGGCACGCGGCCGTCTTCCAGGACAGCATCATGAGCGGGTAGTTCCAGGGGATCACGATGGCGCACACCCTGCCACAGAGCCAGCGCGGACACGGGGTCGGTCCCGCCCTCCGCCTGCCCCTCCTGCCCCTCCCCCCAGGGCGGGCGGCCCCTCCCAGTCGTCCCCACGCGGGACACGGCCCGCGTCTGCCCTTCTCGGTCCCGGACGCGGCCACCGCGCCAGTAGGTTCCGCGGGGGCCACGGTGGCCGGGGACGCCGGACAGTGTCGGGGGGCGTGGGGGAGGCAGAGGGGCTCAGGCAACCGGGGAGAGGGGGGGTGAGGGGAGGTGTGGAGAGGTCAGGGGTCACAGGGTGGGCCAGTGGCCACGTCAGGAGCTTGATCTCATGCCAGGTGTCCCAGGCCCGGCTGGAACGCTGGGCGAGGCGGGCACAGGGTCGCAACGAGGGAGGGCCACCTCTGCTCTTCCCCTCCAGGAAGCGGCTTCTCCTCTTCGCCCCCCGGCTGGGGACCCAGCCGGGCGTGGGGACCCTCGTCCCACCCCCCAATCCCTGCGCGGTCGGCCCTCGCTGCCCTGACACTTGGCCGTCACCCACCCACACGGCCCGGGGAGGGGGCACCGGGTCACTGCCGCTGAGGTGGGGAAACTGAGTCAGAGAGCTTAGAAGCTCGCCCAGGGAAGGGCAGGCGCTGGGACGGCAGCCTCGAGGTCAGGCTCCAGAATGTTCCCAGTGAACCAGGGTCCCCTGTGACGTCGGGGAGGTGACGCCCAGCGGCCACCCTGCCAGGCCAGGCTGCCGTTGGCTGCGGCGGGCGGGCCCCCCACCCCCACCCCCATGGGAAGCGTCCTAGGCCCTCCCTGCCCCGTCCTGGCGCCATGCGGCCGTGGGGACGGCTTAATCCAGCACTAGGGAGGCCGAGGCGGGAGGCTCGCTCGAGGTCAGGAGGTGGAGGCCAGCCTGAGCAAGAGCGAGACCCCATCTCTAATAAAAAAAAAAAAAAATAGAGAGAAATGAGCTGGACAA